AGATTTAGAGAGAGAGATGGAAGAGGAAAACCATTTGGTTTGCTTAACAGGGAAGATACAGAAACAGAGACAATGGATTTTGGGGCAAAACTGGGTTGGTGCCATGATACTGGTTGTCCTAATGAGCTTGCTGCCGGCAGCCATCTCCGGCCAATCTCCCGACTACCGACAGGCTCTCTCCAAAAGCATTCTCTACTTCGAATCCCAGCGCTCCGGCCACCTCCCCCACAACCAACGAGTCACCTGGCGCCACCACTCCGGCCTCACCGACGGCCTCCAACAAGGCGTAAAACCTTTTCCCGTTCCCACATTCTCATCAATCTATATTTACATATATACAGTGTTTATCTCTGTTCTTTAATTAATGCAATATCCAATCTGTCTCTGTTTTCCGGTCAAGTTTTTTCGAATTGACGAACACTGTGCATTAAAGCAGGATTCGGCCATCGTCCAATCTCGATTGCTTTTTTACTGTATCCATTATAACAGGAAAAGCCCAATTGTATTCCGATTGAAACTCTGAATTTTCTCTCTCATTTGCATGATTCAAACTCGATATGAACTAGACAAGCAGATGGGTATCGAGTTTTTGCATTTGCTTGCTGTAATTGCGGAAGATTTTTTCTGGGTCTGTTTAATATAATCCGCCGCCATATCCACTCTCGATTCTCTGTTTTCCGGGTCAAATTCTGAAACAGGACACACCCATATATATGCGCACGTATATATATGTACACACATACATATAATGATACTTATAGATTGGTGCATGTATAGGTAGACTTGGTGGGGGGTTACTACGATGCCGGAGACAATGTGAAGTTTGGTCTGCCAATGGCGTTCACTGTCACAATGCTCTCGTGGGGAGTCATTGAATATGGCGACGACATTGAAGATGGCGGCGAGTACGAGCACGCGCTCGGAGCTATCAAATGGGGGACTGATTATTTCATCAAGGCCCACACTCACCCTAACGTCTTATGGGCTGAGGTAATAAAATATATTTCTCTGGTTTTTTTTTTTTTTTCCCATTCTAATTTTATTTTTTGATAGTTCATTTTTTAATTGATTTACATTAAATTATCAGATATTATATTAATTTAATATAACAATTAAATATATTATTAAAATTGCTTCTATATTTGAATTTTATGAAATATATAGTTTGTAATTAACTAAAATTAAATTATATTTTTAAAATTTAAATTGAAAATTATAATATATATTATGACACTAATTTTATTTTTTTATTTTAAAATTTAAATGGATAATATTTAAATTTTGTATTTATATAATTACATTAATATTAGTATAATATTTTATATTAAAAATAAATAGATAATTATTATTTATTTATTTTTTAAAAAAAAACAGTAATTTAACATGTTTTAATTTTGAATTATATATAGATTTTATGTTCTTAATTATGACTGTTAATTTTACAATTATTAGATTTTAACATTCGAAAACAATAATATTTGTAACAGCAATAACACATTTGGAGCGTGGAAACCACGCTTTTTAATAAATTTTCTCTCATAAATGAAAGCGTGTGGGGATATTATCTATTAATTAATTAATAGGAGAAGATAATGAATAAAGTCAAATTAGTTTTCAGGTGGGAGATGGTGAGACGGATCACTACTGTTGGCAGCGGCCGGAGGACATGACAACATCAAGACAAGCTTACAAGGTCGATGAGAAGAATCCCGGATCCGATGTCGCCGGAGAGACTGCCGCCGCCATGGCTGCAGCTTCGATTGTCTTCAGGAAAACAAACCCACATTACTCTAATCTTCTCTTACACCATGCACGGCAGGTAACTACAATGGAGTTGTTTTCACTTACTTACCGAATATGTATACATATGGTATTTACATGTAAGTGTGGTACGGTTGACCTAAATCCTAAAGTATGGCTACTTCATAGTAGTTATGCTTGAAGCAAAATATACTAGTTGCTAATAATTTTTTTTTTTTTTTGAGTATTTCTCAACATAATTATTGATGGGTGTATATATGTTCATATATTTTTTGTATTATTTAATTAATAAAATCTATGATATATATCGTGTAGTTGTTCGAGTTCGGAGACCGGTACAGAGGGAAATATGACGAGAGCATTAAGGTGGCAAAAGGGCATTACACGTCGGTGAGTGGGTACAAAGATGAGTTGTTATGGGCAGCAATGTGGCTGTACAAAGCCACCGACAACCACCGGTATCTGGACTATGTCCTCCACAAAGCTCATCCCTTTGGTGGGATCACTTGGGCCATTACCGAGTTTAGCTGGGATGTCAAGTATCCTGGTCTTCAAATCCTTGCTTCCATGGTACCTACCTTCTTCTTTTTTCTCCCCTCCTATTTATTTAATATATATATATATATATATTTTTTAACCCATCTATTATAAAAATAATTTTCTTTAAAAATATAATAAAAAAGTTTACACAACTAGACACCCTCCCTTTCTCAACCTCTCCGGGTAGATTTTGTTTAATCTTTTTCTTAATTAATTGTTTTATGTCAAAACTTTAATTAATCAATTTCAAAATGCAATTACTTTGGTGCAGTTACTAATGGAAGGTAGGCATTTTAAGGGAGACCAGCGCATACTGGAACAATACCGCTCAAAGGCAGAACACTACCTCTGTGCTTGCCTTAACAAAAACAACAAGACTAACGTGCAACGCACGCCAGGAGGCTTACTGTACATCCGCCAATGGAATAATATGCAATATGTATCAACGGCCTCCTTTCTCCTAACCGTCTACTCCGACTATCTCCGAGCCTCAAATCAACGGCTCAGATGTGATCTCGAAACACTGGATCCACAAGATCTGCTCAGTTTTGCGAAATCACAGGTTGATTACATCTTGGGTGCTAATCCGATGGGAATGAGCTACTTGGTTGGGTATGGACCCAATTACCCACAAAGGGTGCACCATAGAGGTGCATCCATTGAATCATACCGAGGGAACAAGGGTTTCATTGGTTGCACCCAGGGTTATGATATCTGGTATAAGAGAAAAGATCCTAACCCTAATATCTTGATTGGAGCCCTAGTTGGTGGCCCTGATCAAAAAGATGAATTTGCTGATGATAGAGAGAATTATGTGCAAACCGAGGCCTGCACATACAATACAGCAACCCTTGTTGGGGTATTTGCTAGGTTGCATAGCTTAAGGAAGGGTGATTTGGGTTTTGTTGCAAACCATCATTCGTTCGAGGATTCTTAGGGTCTTGCTAAATTTGTGGGTTATCCCCATTGTACAATCCGTCATTTCCCATACACAGAAAAAGAAAAAGAAATAAGATGAGAGATACAGCAATTTTATTTTGAGTTCTAAAGGAAGCTTATACAGATCAAGAATGTTGTTTGTGTTAAAACACAGAGACATTTATGGCAATGCCCAGAAACAGCTAACAATTACTTTAGGATGATTAAGAAGCAAAATCCACAATAATAAACAAATCAACCCATGGATGATTCAGAGCTTTGATACAAACACTGCATTGGTGCTGCATCAGTGCGGAAGGACATCAAATCCAATCCATGCCTTGGAGCAGTTTATTTAAGAGAATTCATCATGTACTCAAAAAGTTCTCATGAGTTTCAGACATCTATTATTCAAAAGGAAAATAAGGAGAAAACAAAAGCCACTCACATATTATATGGCAGATTTCAGTGCAACCAGTGGCTTCCAAAATTTTACCTTTAATCATAACCTTTTATCATAACGTTCTTTCACCTTTCATTTCTTACTTTGGCAACTGCAAACTACAACTGCTCCTAAAACATGGATTCTACAAAATCCGTAACTCATTCTATCTAAAAACAGATGCAAGCCACTTATACAAAGTAATGATACATAGATAGGATTCATACAAGTCCCAACTAAGCATTGCTGTCTCTGATTTATCCTCTATTCCTTTCAAGAATCCAGGAAAAAAAGAAATAGAAAACTAAAACTAAAGTAAAGCAGTGACTGTAAAAAGATACAAACGTTTACTTACTAAAATATAGGTTTCATAATTTATGATAGGGAGACAACAAAAGCTTATAAAGGAAGCAGAATCCTGTAAAAACAAAGATAGAAGAGCAAACCAAATATATTCTTTTAAGATTGTTTCAAAGAATCTGTTCCTGAACTTGGAAGATGACTAACAACCAATGGGGGCCGAAGAGCTCGATGGTTGGCGTCTGCCTGTTTGCGAGCCTTATACATTTCTTCTGTTTCAATTACAACCAATCTTTTAACCTGTACAAGTAGTACCATAGTTATAATAACTGTTAGAAATGAAAAGAAATAAAGAAGCACAGGCAAAACAAAACCCACCTGTTGAAGCATTCCCCTAACCGTGGGTGTGTTCCACCGCATGACAGTACGGTTGCATTTGCGGAGGCGCAATGCTTCTAAAGTGCGTCTGTGCAGCCTCCTGGTGCCTGGGATCCCCCTCACAAGGGTTATATAAAGGTTAGGGCTCCATTCAATTGGAACATGGGCTTTGAAGGCCTTGAAAGCATTCATATCTTCCTTGTTCGACTAATAGTCCCTGATGGCAAATATAATCAATATGCTTCCTTTGAAAAATATGCATTCTTTAAAGAAAAAATTATAACTATCGGGTTGTTCTCCGCATGTCTGAGGAAAATTTATGATGTAGATGTTATGAACTAGTCAAGGAAGAGAACACTAGTTGAATACACATAAATACACACACAAAGACATATATATCAGAAAGAAAATGTAAAAGTCATCAGTCGGGTTCTATGAATAACACGATTGTGTTTCACAGAGGAAACAGAAGAAAAGAAATGCATACAGGTTCAACCACAGCATCTAACATTGCTTTTGTTTCCAACAAACAGTAAAAATTACACTAACCCTAGAAGCTGTATTAGAACTTTGAAGCATAAGACTATACGTAAGTCTAGGTAGATCGTTCCAGGTAAACGAAATCGAAAGTAAACAAAGTAAGAGATTTTCACAGTTAGAAGTATTGTATACGACATCTAAGGAAGCAAAAATGCTTAAGCCGCAACATTACATTAAGCCACCAATCTAAACCAGATAAACAGCTCACTTGAAAAAAGAAATAGCAAAGCAAAATGACCTGAATATACTGATCAAAATTCATCTGAGCAAGAAAAGGAGTACATTGTCTTAGTTTTGCATAATTAAAATATGGCGACTTGTACTTCTGTCATTTCGTTCTTCCACTCGTGAAGACAAGACAGAGAAAAAAGGCGGAGAAAACAAGGAATCCTAAAGAGAACTAATCGAAGGAAAGGACAGAATTCAAATAAGAATAATTTAAATCAGAAACTTACCTAAATAGCTTTCGATTCCTCAGCACAGGTGCCCAAAGCGGGAGCAGTAGGGTTTAACAAGGAGGAGGGGTGGAGGACGAAGATGTATTTCGCCTCCAGTTACGGAAGGTTGCGAAAACGACCCCTTTTGATCACACTGCCCTTTCGCATTTTGGGCCTCTTTTAAGTTTGAAACGGCGTCGTTTACTCTCAAAAGTCAACAGTGTCAACCCACTGACGTGGAACCATGCAGTACCTACTTGCACATTAAAGTACAATACCTCTTAAGGCACAACTTCTTCTTGCTAGGGTTCCTCTGCTCTTCACTGACACTGTGAAGTTCCTTCTCTTCTCTGCAAACTGGCGAAGAATTATGAATAATAAATAAAGAAAAAATAAACAAAGATGGAGAAAAACGGAGGTGACGCAGCTGAAATTCTTCGCGAAATAGAAACCTTAAAGGCCAAGAAGGCCGACATCGAGAATCGGATTTCATCTCTCGAAGCTCAGCTCCGCGAAACGACAACGTCAGAGCGAAAGGACGCCGCTCCAAATGGTTATTCTTGCCCTTCAATCTTCAATCTTGCTTCTGTGCTCGGCCACGGATTGTCGGCCGATCAAATTTACCGTTACAGTCGCCACCTCCTGCTTCCTTCCTTTGGAGTTCAAGGTATTTCCTCTATTAAACAACGCATACTATTACGTTTTCATTTTTCCTTTTCTCGGAGTTCTGATGATAAGAGTATAGAGTCGTTTTTAGTGTTATTGCAAGCCCGTCACCAGCAAAGTTTTGAGTGATTAGTACCTTTTTGTCAATTTTGTTGAATTATGGAAAGGAATTACCTGTTTAGATTAGAATGTTAGTAAAAATTCCGTTCTTTATTGTTTAGTATTAAGCTGCTGTTCTTTGTTTTGTTTGTTCGGTTGCAGGGCAGTCAAATCTCCTGAAGTCTTCGATTCTAGTTGTTGGAGCTGGAGGATTAGGCTCCCCTGCTTTGTTGTATCTTGCTGCTTGTGGGGTTGGTAAGAATTTTTGCTTTTTTTTTTAACAAGATTCAAAATGTTATTTCCTTCATAAGTGAGGTTACTCACTCTAGCTTCTCCATTTTGGAGGACCTTACTTTCTAAATATTTAGTTGTTAGTATTCATCTATTCCCTTTTTTCTGGGTCTTCTTTTTCTAGGCCGCTTGGGATTGTTGATCATGATGTAGTTGAGCTTAATAACATGCACAGGCAGGTATAAGTTGCATATAACTTATGGAAACTACTGCTATCTCATGTAACTGATAGTGTTGTTGATCGAGGAAATGAATATTTTCTATGATACACGATATAATTATCCTTTCTGCATTTTTTTTGAGATAATTCTTTCTGCACTTTAGGACAGGTGGATAATTCATGGTCCTAGTGGCCTTTATTGGCTTCGGTCAGCTTCATTTCTTTACCATAGGAAGTAATGACTGTGCTTTAGATTTTTCATTTAGCAGTAGAACTAATATTTATTTCTTGAGTTTGGGTTATAAATCCGTTTTTCTTCTCTTTTGTAATTTGTTCTATTTGATTTCTGATTGTACTTGCTCTATCAGTCAAATCTTTTATTTTGTTTTCTGTCAGGGACTAGATGGACTTTCTATTCTTTGTACACGTGTTCTTCATTTGATTTACTCAATCGCTATCTGTTTGCTTACAAAATGTATGATATGGAATTTCTTTCACCTATTTTCTTGATCTTAATTGTCATCTGGTCTTCTTTAGGTTATCCACACTGAAGAATATATTGGCCACCCAAAAGTGAAATCTGCTGCTGCTGCTTGTCGCTCGTAGGTTATTCCCTTTCAATTTGATCTTCATTTGTAGATATCTGGTTTAAATTGTGATGTTCACAGTATGAGGAGACTTTATTTGATTCCTTTGCTTTGGACTTGCCTAGAAATTTGTATTTTTATATTTTCCCACTTTTGTCTAATATAGTGTTTTGTTCCAGGATTAACTCCACTATTCAAATTGTTGAATACAAAGAAGCTTTGCGTACAAGCAATGCTTTGGAAATCTTGAGCAAGTATCCTTTGTTTATATCACTGAAATGTGATATCTTTGTCATGGTCACTGCCACTGACAACCAAAAGAATTCACAGTGATTGTCTACAGCAATAGGACCCTTGGAAAGGGGAAAAGTGGCGGCTGACAGACGAAAGAAAATGTTCGATAGAGTTGGCTGAACTTAGGACTGTTTAGGAGGAATTCTAATTATTGTTTTTTTAGGAGTTAGAAGTTCAATAAAACAGTTCCAAGATTCCTGGTTATCTTATAGGGATCTAATTCTAAACAAAACATCAACTTTGAAATGTTGCGGTTTGTGTGGACTATCATGCTATGGATAATAATATAGTTAAAGATAAGTTCTTGATTCCTATGATAGAGTACATTTAGAAGAGCTGCATGGTGCCAATACTTCACCAAACTAGATCTTGAATCCAGCTACCATCAAATAAGGATGCACCCACATACCATCGAGAAAACAAACTTTAGAACACCTTACAGGCACAATGAGTCTTTCGTCATGCCTTTTGGACTCACCAACGCATCCTCAACATTCCAAGCTCTATCGAACTCGATCTTTGAGCTTTACGCGAGTTTGTACTCTTTGATGTCATCATCATATATAGCAAGATATTGTTAGGACACTTGGGCCACCTGCATATGAAAAAGAGTAAATGGGCCTAGCTTAAGTAATTCGGCGGTGGAGACCTATCTTTGGGGGGGGATTTTTGTGGTGAGAACAAATCATTATAGCCTGAAATTCTTCCTAGAGCAGTGCGTGGTCACATCGTACATCTAATGAATTATCGTGCTAGTTCAAAGAGATCTAGGCAAATTGAGGGAAATTTCGTGCAAGTCCAAAGAGATCTAGGCAAATTGGGGAAGTCGCACATCTCATGAAGATAATTAGTTGGAACAAAAATTGATTGGGATGTGGTCTTAAGAGGAAGAAAATGAAGTAGTTAATAGGGTGTGCCTCCACATAATGCTCTTGCAAGAAACGAAAAAAGAATCTATCAATAGAATTTTGATTTGAAGTATTTGGGAGTTGAGCTTTAAGGAATAGGTGGTTGTCCCATCCTTAGGTGCCTCAAGAGGATTGCATATTGTGTGGGACACTACAGTTGCTAGTTGACTGGATGTGATCGAAGGGTCCTTCACTGTAACAGCTTTGCTTAATATGAAAGGAAAGGGATCCTGGTGGATAACATGTGCTTATGGGCCTGTGAACCCTAGATGTAGATCTCTTTTTGGGGAGGAGCCATCCTTTCTTTCTGATTTGTGCTTGCTGTATAGGGAGTCACTTTAATGCTTGTAGATTTCTTCATGAGAAGTTGGGAGGTGGCTGAGAAACTATGAGCATGCGGGGCTTCGATGATTTTATGCAAGATTGTGAGTTACGGGTTTTGAATAATAGAAAGAAGTGAGGAATCTTCTTTTCTGTTATCACTTTCCCACTCCATGACTTATTCTCAATTAATAACTTTGGGTATCTTCACTAGCATTAATATTGTCACTATCATTAATAAAAAAAACCTTTAGGTTTGTTATCCAGGAACATGTTCAGAAGATTGCAGTCAGTTTGATAATGATGAGTGATATTGCAATCTCCCACTAAATAACGCTTGATTCACCTTGTCTGTGGAAATGCGAGGTAGTTGTTCTTTGCATATTGATTGCTTCGTGATTTGATCTTGTTGGGAGGACATGTTTTCTAATTTGGTTCAGGATGTTTTATGAGATCTATATCAGACCACTTCCCGATTATGTGGGATTCCCAACGTGTGCAACAAGGTCCTAATCCATTCAGTTCTAAGAACATATAGATCCAACATCGTAATTTTGTTGCTAAAATGAAGGAATGGTGGAATGATGACCCCGTTAGCGAATGGGTGGGATATAAATTCATGCAAAAATTGAAACTCTTTAAGGAAAGGTAAGGCAAAAGTCTAGAATGAAATGGGCGAAAGAGGGTGATGCAAAAACTAGGTTCTACCACCATGTTGTTAATGGTCGGAGAAGGGGAGTTGAGCGGGATAAGTAGCTGATAGGGCATGAAATCACTAAGTTCTATCGTAGGTTATAGACTGAGGATGAGGTACTTAGGCCTGGCTCTACCAGAAGTAGTGCCATGTCTCATGTTTGAAGTAATTTTATAGGACTAGCAGGTTCAGCCATTCTTACCCTCTGCACCCCACAGGGAACTACAACCACATGGAAAGCCATATTTGACTGAAGAACTGTTGCAGGAAAATGTGAGTTGCTGATTAACTAGGAGGGTTTTTCACCTGTTTCTCTACGAGTTATATGTTCAATATAATAGGTTCTAAGAGTCTTGATTCCTAGAGGGACGTTTTTCTAATAGCTTCAGTATGAATATGATCATTATGATCGTTAAATTATTGTTCTAGTCTAAAGATATAGAAATAGGAGGTTCTCTTTGATAAGCCTCATCATAGGCCAGGCAAGGCTGAGAATCCAGCAAGCAGGCCTCCAAGTTGCTTAGGGACTTCACCGTGGAAGGCTCCTTAACCCGATTCCAAGGGTGCGACGTGACAATCTTCTACTTGCCTCAAGCATCCTCTCCTTTGTTCTTTTTGACATGAAATGCTATGACTTCCGTAACTGATTATATTTTACTAGATATGACATAGTGGTAGATGCAACTGATAATGCTCCAAGTCGCTATATGATCAGTGATTGCTGTGTACTGTTGCGCAAGGTAAAATTTCTTATTGAAGATTTTTTTAATGGTAGTGCTGCAAAGAACCTGATTTGTGAAGGTGGCCTATATCTTGATTCCATATCTAGCACTGAGCTTCCATGCTTTTCATGCAGCCTCTAGTATCTGGCGCCGCTTTGGGAATGGAAGGTCAGGTATGTTTATGGTCATTATCACATTCTATTTTCCAGTCAAACCTGACTTATGGACAAACATTCACCCAAAAGAAAAGTACTGGGCAATATCTGAATGTATGCTTGAACCGTCAGTGTTGTTGTGCAGCTGACTGTTTACAATTACAATGGAGGTCCATGCTACCGATGTCTCTTTCCAACTCCCCCACCGACGACAGCATGTCAAAGATGCTCAGATAGTGGCGTTCTAGGAGTAGGTAGTTTACTGTCCTTCCTGAGCTACTCTTTTCACTACTGTCCTTGCCTCTTTGGTCCTGTCTGCAAATCATGGTTATTTATTTTTTAATATCTTTTGCATGAAACTGACCAGATTAACTTATTCCTTGCTAAGATTTATTTTCTTTTTTCAATTAGAGAAGAATATTTTAACATATTGATTTTCCTTCAGTTCCTGGAATCATTGGCTGTCTCCAAGCACTAGAGGCCATCAAAATTGCTAGTGCTATTGGTGAACCACTCACGGGACGGATGCTTATTTTTGATGCACTCTCTGCACGAATTCGAGTTGTATGGTCTTTGATATTGATTGGATTTTTCCATCCCTGTTAACTGGACCATTTTGGTTTGTTTTACATGTTACTTACTGCTTTAAGTTTTACTGCTCAGGTCAAGATTAGAAGCAGGTCATTACAATGCGAGGTTTGTGGAGAAAACTCAAAATTCAAACGGGAGCAATTTAAAGAATTTGATTATGAGAGATTCACTGAGTCTCCACTTTCAGTGGTATATATTCCTTTCTATTTTCCTTCCATTCAACTAAAAATTTTATTTCCCAAGTCCACATTCACCAGTTAAAATTAGCTTAACTATGTTTATGTTTAAGTCTGGCTAAATTACATAACGGTACTTGAGATTAGGTGTAAGTCCAACTGGATTTATTATTTTTAAGAAAAAGTTCAGTTTTTGTATAAAGAAACTGTAAACTCAATAAATTTTTGTATATAAGTTAGATGATAGCTTAATTTATATTACGTGACGATCACGTAATTGCTAAATATTTTTTTAAAAAAATGAAAAGAAACATAATGGGCAATTTAGTCTTAGAAAGCGCAAAAGAGTGCTAGTCTAGTTAATATTGTAAAGAGAAAACTGAGTAAGAATTCAAAATAAACTTGGTTGTTACGGTAACCAAAATAGCAAAAATTTGTATAATTTATCCTTCTGTTTGCTTCTTTTAGTGTTATGTTGTACTCTATACCAAAACACAGACCCTAGGACTGTCATCATTCAAACCCTGCACTGAAGATAAGATCATCAATGCAACTTCTATTCCATTCGATGTGTCAAAAATATCTGAACTTTGCATTACTACATAGACACATGGTTTAATGTCATCAGTTTGGATTAAATGCAGTCTCCCTTGAAGCTAAACCTTCTACAGCCAGATTGCAGAATAAGCAGCAAGGATTACAAGCAGAGAGTTCTCGATGGAGAGCCACACATACTGCTGGATGTACGCCCATCACATCACTTCAAGATAGTTTCTCTTCCAAATTCGTTAAACATTCCTCTTGCAGCTTTGGAATCAAGGTTACCGGAAGTTTCTTTGGCATTGAAAGAAGAGGAAAACCGGCAAGATAGGGATTCTGGCTCAAGGGCTAGCCTGTATGTGGTATGCAGACGTGGTAATGATTCACAGAGAGCCGTTAAGTACCTCCACAGTGTGGGTTTCACTTCAGCTAGGGATGTTGTTGGAGGTATTGAGTCTTGGGCGCATGAGGTTGATCCCAACTTCCCTACTTACTAGAAATTTTCTTGTTGCTTGGAGCGTATTATTATTGTCTCTATACTTACACCATTAAGCCAAGAGATAAATGGGCTTTAAAATAGTGACTATGCTTATATTAGCACGCTACAACTACTCTTTCTCAAGATTTGAGAGGCAGAGAATGAAAATTAAGACTCTGTTTGAACAAATAAAAAAACAATATAAAATTTATTTGTAAATTTGTACTTAATTAAATTGTAAATTTTTTTTTTTTTTAAATAATTTTATTTCTAATTAGTTACACATAAATATTTATAGAAATTTTAATTCTATTATAATTTTAGTAGTATGAAATTATTATTTTTATAAAATTTTAATTATATAATATTAATTAATTATTATATTCAACATTTCTCTCAAGTAGTTACAGAGATATTGTACATGCTCAACTTACATAATAAGTGTTGAAGAGTCACCATGCAATTTATCAAAGACACGTGTGCTCGACTCGGCTCAAACGGCTTGATCCAGCTCAAAATAGCTCAGTTTGGCTCAAAACGGTTTGACTCTACTCAACATGGCTTGATCTAGCTTAAAACGGTTCAAATAAATTTAAAACAGCTCAGCTCAATTCGGCTTTAAAACAACTCAGTTTCGACTCTAAAATAATTCGAGTTTGACTTTAAAACGGTTCGATTTCAACTCAAAAAACATATCAAAGTTGGCTTGGCTCGTTTTCTCTAAACAGATCTCTAAATGTGCGCAGAAAAATGGAATGGTGCAGTATTTTTAAGTATAGATGTGCGGCTGTAACTTTTTACTAGCGGTTGAGTGTGCGGCTGCAATTTTTTATCGGTATCTTCAAAGTGCTGTTGCACTTTTTTACCAGCACTTCTAGAAATGTGGCTGCACTTTTTTACCAACGACTGCAAAGTACGGCTCCACTTTTTACCGGCGCCTCCAAAATGCTGCTACACTTTTTACCAGTGCCTCCACTACCGCTGAAAATTATCATAAACACCATAGAACACATTGGTGGATTCAAATCTGTTTTGGATGGTAATGAGAGTAGATTTGAATAAAAGGGTACCAACCCAACATATGTTGCTATTTTAGAATTTGTAAAGAACTCTAAAATAAATTTATTTAACTTTTATATTATTATAAATTTTTAAAAAATAAATAAATAATTTTATTTTTTATTTTTAATTTATTAAATCTAGATATTTATATAATTTCTAATCTATTAATAAAAAAATTCTTATTTATTAAAATTTTAATAATATAAAATTATTATTTTTATAAAATTTTAATTACATAAAACTAACTAATTAAATAATAAATTAAAATAATAAAATACTATATTAAACATAAATTAACATAATGTGTAAATTATATTGAAATTGCAAAAATAAAACATAATAACAATTTCATGTGCAATTGAAATAATATGTTACATAAATTTTTATATTTGATTTAACTATATTTCTACAAATGATTACAACAACTACGTTTTTTTTTTCTACCTTTTAAAGTTTTAAACTTCGACAAAAAAGTTGAAGTTATTTGTAAAAAGAAATAAATTTTATAATAGTAAAATTAATATCTAAATAAGTCCACATGATATCAAAATCAGAAAATAAAATGTGCATATGTCAATACATGCAACTTTTACATTAAAACATAACTGTATATCTATGGAATTTTACAAAGATTCTTATCATTAACAGTAAAAAAAAATCCTCAAGTATTATATAATAGTAATTCATAATTTTTTAAATGAAAATAATCACAAATAATAATTCATAGATAAATTTAAGATATATAACAAATTAAATTTTACAATTAATTTAAAGTTAATATGTAAAACACAGTGACATATTTGACTTCTAAAATTTATAAACAATTAACAAGCTGTGGCAGGTCTAGAAAGCTTTGCACATAGTAGAAAGAAACAGAGTTTCTAACATCTCTCGTAAGTCATAACCCGCCGTGAAGAATAATTCTTTCAAAATTCCCAGTATCAGATAGAGCATCTATTGATAGTTAAATTATTGCACCACTGTAGTAAAATAATAAAACAAGAAAAGATTACATTAGTTTCCGAACGAACAATCGTACTGGATTTCTATACACAAATCAACTCAGAGTTTCCATTCTCATAACCATTTATCTTAAAAGATGAACATCCCAAAAAAAACCAGTACCTTCCCTGTTTTATACCATTTGAATGGTGACGGCGATGGTTGCGGTGACTTTCAGAGTCATAGAGGGTTTTCTTCATACTATTTTTGTGCAGAGATGTGGTACTCTGCGTCCATCTTAGCACCCACATATTATCCTTGCTGCTTGTTCAATGGAAATTCTTTCTCTTGCTTACAGGTTATTGAAGCAATATTTGGAACCCCACGAACTCGTTTGTAGAATTTATTTACAAATTTACACTTATTTTAACTAAGGGAAAGTGAAGATCTTTTATAAGATGATAAAAATGAGTTTCTAAATAATTTCAATGTAAAATTTGAAGATTCCACTTGAAGGTATTTATGAACTCAATTTTTATAATTTTGTGATGTATCATTAAGTAATTGTAAATTTTCAAATAAATTCTACAAACAAACTCCATTTCTTCCAAACATAGCCAAAATATCACAATTATTTCTCCCATCTTTTTCCATGTTCGGAAGGAGGCCAATATTGACAAAAGAACCAAAAAACAGTCGAAGATCATAAAACACATCTATGACTCATGTAGCATAATTCTAGGGCCAAATTATTCTCACATTAGAATTTATGCATAGATAAACTCGAGAAAAAACAAGTCTCATGATGTCAAATTTTGGAAAGAAATATTGCATTTCGTGAGCCCCAGAAAACAAAAAACGCGTCCTCACCACCCAACAAGCAGAAGTTTCAAAAGAGCCATACGTATAAAAAGACCATTTTTTGCTTGCCTGAAGTATGCAGCTCTTGGATCTGCATCAACATCCACGGTAATCTACATAGAAACAATAGCGAAGGTAAATTAACCAATGCTTCATGGCAAGACTTTGACTGATGCCATAAAATATAGCCAACATTACTAAAACATTGCATACCTCATCAAGCCTAGGTAAAGGATGCATGACAACAGCATGTATCTGCATCACTCCCACTACATTCTTATCCACGATGTACTTTCCCCGAGCTTCTTCGTAAAGGTCAAGTCTCTCACCAAACCGTTCTCGTTGAATGCGGGTTTGGTACACGACATCACATTTGGAAGCCACTTCCATTAAGTCAGCACTCTCTTCCCATTCAACTCCTTTTGTTGTCAAATATTCCTTTATATCATCCTGGAAACATGGAAAAGTGAACACTTAAAAAGTTTAGCTACTCAATGAATTCAAACCACAAAATTTATCAATAATCCATGTTCTTCTGTTCCTCAAAAAATAATTAATTCATGTTCTTCTTTCAGGTCAGATCAGCGTGTTCCAATGAGCTAACTCTGATGAATGCTAACCTTCATCTTCACCACCACCGGTGAAACAAAGTAGATCTTCACGTTTTCGTACTTTGCAAGCAAGTAAGCGAGTGACCGAACAGTCCTTCCATTTGCAAGATCTCCCACAAGTGCAACTTTAATACCGTCCAGTTTCCCTAACTCTCTTTCAATGGTATAGACATCTAAAAGAGCCTGTTCATCATAGGGAGAAAACAAGCAGTCTTTAGCTGGACAATTGAAATTTGCCACAATATGTAAATGGAGAGGCTGAAGAAAGAAAAGATTCATATTTCATCTGGACAACAATGAAGCAAACAGTTGGCATATTATGTAATCACTAAAAGAACAAAGAAAGTAGTGGCAGATGGTTGTGTAATCAACATTGTTCTATAAGCTTCCTAAGATAAGCGGAATAAGACAGTTATAATAATCTGTTTCTTTGTACTACCATATAAGATTGGTATTCAGTTTCCAGTACCAAAATTATGACAAACTTGTCAACAAGCAGTATTTCAATTTGTCCAATTGTCAAAAGGGGGTGGAAGAGGGAGTGGAAGAGATGAACTGTCCTCAATTGACAATTATTATAGAATCATAAACAAAAACAAAGTCAACTAACCTTTTCAACCTTTTTAAGGCCTAAAATTTATACAGGGAGAAACTACTTGGCGTAATAAGGTACAGGTTGATGTGGTATCACATTTCCATTAATAGTTTGATAGAAATTTGATTTTGCAAAAATTAGTTTAACCAATAAACAATAGAGGTGAAGGAATTTTTGAAGAGAAAATTCAAGAACTATTCAAAATAAAATTTTCTCTAGCATTGACATGAACAGAAGTTTTGCAAAGACCTGAGTGGGATGTTGCCCAGGACCATCACCAGCATTAATAATAGGAATACCAGCAGTTGCTGCTGCTCTTTTGGCAGCACCGCTTTCAAAGTGCCGCATGACAATTATGTCTGAATAGCCTTCAACTGTTCGAATAGTGTCTGCGAATCAAGTTCATAGATTACAATTGATGCAATAGAAAAGACACTTATATAAATGCCAAATTTCTATAACTACTTGACAAAGAATACCTTCAAGTGTTTCTCCTTTTGCTGCTGATGAAAACTCCCGGGCATTTTCAGTTGTCAAAACTTCCCCACCTAAACGTTTCATGGCAGACTCAAATGAAAGCCTGGTTCTGGTAGAGGGCTCATAGAAAAGGGTAGCCATCAGGTAACCCTTGAGTATCTGACTTCCAGGTGAATTCTTTTCAATTGCCTCCATTTCTCTCGCAACTTCAAATATAGCATCCAGAGTATCTCTATCAAATTGTTGAGCTTCAATTACATCATCAAGTTGAAACTTCTTCCCCGACATAAAAGTAGGCCTAACTTTAACTTCCATTGCACAACACTGGACTCCACTTCTCAGAGATAGTGTCTGGGTTTGATCCCGTTTCATCATCTTCTTGTTTGGAAACAACCTCGAATGTGTAAGTTCGGCAGATATAGAAACTGATTTGGAATGAACAGGTAGCTGGCGGAAGATATTTGAGTAATTTCTCATGAATTCTTTATTGCCATTTAATGCTTTTGGAGCAACCCTGCAGGATGTGCATGAAGAAAATGATGCAGAAGGAGCCATCCCAGCTGACCAAAACAGCTCTCAATAACAAACTTGAGTCTCCGAAAGCACTTGAAGTAACCTAAAATGAAGAAATAACAAAGGTACCAGAACATGAACAAATACAAACCAGACAGTAATCGTATTCAATATACAAAAGAAAGAAAACTGAATATACAATTCATCATAAATTCGCCGGTGGTGGAGCAAGAACAGGTATTAAAATCAAACCACAGATGATAGAGAGAGAGAGGTGCGAGAGTTAAGGCCTCTCTGGAGGCAACATCATCGAAAAGAAATTTTGAAAAATAAAAATTGCAAATTGTCTTCAGTGTGTAACTGCGTCCATTCCAGAGATTAATACCAGACCAGAATTCATGAAACTCGAAGCCGACAAGAAGTTTTCCAACTCCACAGTAAATTCCACACTCGAAAATAGGGTTAACGCATTTTGGAAAAGATCAAACAAAAGATAACAATTCCATTAGATTTAAAAATTAAAAATTAAAAAAAAAGTTAAACACATACTCCAAACAGTACTATGGTCAGTTCAAAGACGAAGAGAATAGTGGGCTTCTCTGCTGACAGGCAGAACAACAACGGAACCAATGAGCAAAGTAGAGAATACCAGAATCAGAGTGAACAACAGAAGAGAGTAAATACCTGGCAGGATCTTTTCCGGGTAGAAGGAAGGAAAAGAAAGCTTCGCGAGGCGCTTAAGAGTGTTTGTTTCCCGAGAAAAAGGCGGAGTTTTCTTTTTTCCGATAAGAAATTTATAATAAGATTAGAATGAAGAAAGCAAAAGCGGGATTGTCGGAGGAGCCGAAGGCACGAAATGATTCCTTCCTCCCCTGCCATTATGAAAGATTTTTAAAAGTACCAGAAAATAATAAATAAATAAATAATCACGGAGATACTTTGGCAACGTTTCATAATTTTAATTTTTGAAATTTCCATGTACAAAAATTATAAAATAAGTAAAAACTATAAATTTTTAAGAATTAATTTTTATTTTTTTAAAAAATAGTTTAATTTGGCTTTGATTATACGCATAAAAATATAATGAATGCATAGACATATAAATATACAAAATAAAATATTTTTACGTGGTAAATAATTTTATTTTTAAAATTTCTGTTCGTGAAATGAAAAAATTACACTACACGAAGAGGAGTAAATTGATTATTTAAAATTATATTAATTTTTAATATCATGAATTATATTTTTTTTATTTTATAATTATTAAGATATTACGAGAATAGATAACGATATTAAGATTATAACATTTACAAAGACAGATTATTGCAGCATCACTAGAAAAACTGAATTAGATTATACAATTTGTTTATTTATTTATTTTTAAATAATTTTGTTCTTGAACTAGTAAAATTATCAAAAATAAACGTACTTAAACAAGAATTAGCGGACTCTGTTAGTTTAATTCCCTTGTTTCAAAGAAAGAAAGACTGAGTCATACACATTTTATTTAATGGTTGAAAGTTAAGTAGTGGTGATTCTAAAGATTGTTCGAAAAAAAAATAAAAATATCTCTTTATATTATTTGTAATACGTAAAAATATCAACGTAATTTCATATAATTATTTAATATAAATATTAAATAAAAAATAAAAACCAGATGATGGAAATGAAAAACTTAGGACGTATAAGATAATAACACGAGTTATTCGACATATTTTAATTCCTATAGATTAATTTACATCAATCAATTGAAAGAGAGGGAAGAAAGTGACAAAAACAACTAAAAACTAAGTGATTTTTTCAACTAGACACATAAAATGTAGGTTTTTTATGATATTTTAGTCCATTAATAACTCTTTCTTTAGATAGATAGATATATATATATATATACATATGAGCATATATATATATATATGAGCGGAAATGTAAATAGATAAAAGAAGTTGAAGATAAATGAAAGAACTCAAAAACTCGTTTTACTGCAGGTGACATGAATAGAAAGTATGTGTTCAAATTCAAGACCAAGCTCTGACTTTATTGCCGGTGGCTGACCACCCCACAGGGCGGCTGCAGTGAGATCATTCGAGGCTAAGCATAACTGCACAACCCATAAATGCAGCGGCTCCTCCTGGGACACCTGTGTCCACATTTTCCGCAGTTGGACCTACTAACCATGACATTAACACAAAAACCCCTACAGCATTGCCATCCAAAAGGGCATCTGATTATGCACAAACCGCAGTGATTAACATCCGACGAGACATCGATGCATTGGTTTCCGCAACACCGCATTCGAGTTCCTGGGTGCTCTCCTTGCCAGCAAATCCACGGCCTCCACCTGCACCCTGGCTGTCTCAGCCGATGATGACGATGGTGGTTCATCACTTCATCAAGCCAAGGTGACGATGAGGAGCTGGTACCAGTCATGTTCCTTGGAGATGTTTCGGGAGTCAGGTGGCTAGTTGCTGTCGCAACTAGTGATGGTATTAACAACAGGAAGAGGGAAACTGAAGAAATGTGTGGAAAGGTTGCCATTTGAAGATGTACTTGACAAAACCAATTGGAAATAATTAGTTCAGACTGTGTCCTATAAATGTCTGGGATTGCGAAGAGAAAACTTGAGAGACTTGAGGTGTATTTTCATGTTTTCCTTACGTGGGTAACAAACAAGGAGTCGATATGACATGTTGGGGTGCTTTGCGGCTTGAGAGTAATCGACATATTTTACGTAAGAGAGGATGATTTTGCTTGCCTTTGTGCACGTAGGATTTTCGCTTTTTTTTCATGAATCCAATCATGAAAAAGCAATTTAAATCGCTAACTTGCTAACTTCCTAAGTACAAGACAGACTGTATTCCAAAAAAAGACAGTAAGAAAAGTTCAAACCTAAGGGACTTTCTTTCCATTCTGTTTTTCAAAAGGCTCCTTTTGTAAAAGGAAAAACAAGGATGCTACATTAACTTTAAAGCAGAATGGTTGTGGGGGATGGAAGGGATAGGAGACCCGAAGCTCCTCGCAGCTTTTTTGAACCAAAATACAGATAGGACTTCATAGATTTCAGGGTTAACTATGCAGAATCACCATGCAAATCTTCAGAAGGCATCAGCTTTCACATCTGCTACGTATCTAATATACAATTTAATGAGTTAATTCTGCATTAACGTTCCTCATTGTTTTGTTGCCAGAAAATCATAATAGAAAAACTTTTTACCACATGATCACGATATGCCAAGTTTCCCTGTGGGAACGGGATGTTTGGGCACTCCTTGGGAAAATTTGGGCATCCAATAATAGACACACTCATGATAGAAGAAGCAGCAGGAGTTGCTTCATTAAGAATTGAAAAGTATCATCAAGTTATTTTTTAAATCTTTGGTGAAACTAAATGCCAAATTACCGAAGGCATAATATGCCTACTCAGCGTAAAGACCATAGCTAAATCAAAAGAAAAAGGTCTCCTCAAAAAAAAAAATCAGAAGAAAAAAGGAGTTTAATGGGGAACCACAAAAACTTGGAACACCAAATAACATGATAAATCTGTGTGAAGTGACAGCAGTATGATCAGATCCAGATGCAAGCATAATAACAGAGCAGAAAAAAAACACATTGTTCAGAGCATTCACAAGCTTCAAGCTTCTTTCTTCTTCTTTCCTCCTCCCAAAACATAGATATTTAAACCTAATTGGATATACCTGCTCTTTTTTAGTTTTAGACAGGTCATTTTTCATTGTTTTCCTCAGGCTGTTGCTGCTCATACCGACGCTTAAATTTAGCAATCTGCCCTATACTTTCAGCCATTTGACGTTTTGCTCTAAAGTGATAAACTTTACCAGCATGGTGTATTTTTGTCATCATAACGTTCATCAATCTGCCACTTTGAGTTACATACGATATCCACTGCATCTGAGGATGCAATCCCTTTTTCATTTCCTGCAAATCTAGGAGATAATTTGAAAGTTTATTACACGGAGGCATACAATGGTAAAGCATCAATATATCTGGCAATTCAAAATTGGGAAATAAATAAACTCTTCAACATAACTACAATATCAAGAACTCAACAAAAAACATCTGCTCAGGAGCTATTGATCCTCACAAATTCAATGTTAAATGGACTATTTTGATATATGACATCAATATCAAGATAAAGGCACAAAAACCTAATTCAAGGCTATCAAAAAGAAAGCTCGAAAATTTTATTAAATACTAGGCTATTTTGGAAAAATGAGTTCCACAAAAGTGTGAAGTTCATTTACAAATCTGCATTATAAACATGAAATTTGGATTTTTAAATGAATTTGACAACTTTTTTGTGGAAGTCAATTGTTCCAACTTCCAATCATAGTGTTAACAAGCTTTATCCTTAAAGAGAAATGAAATATAGGAGATTTATGTACAACCACATCCCAGATCTTATAAATGTGCATTAAAATTGTATAACCACAAGCACTTTCTACCATAAAAGTTCTAATAGTTCAATAATCATACATAATTGTAACATATGAGAACCAACAGATTGAAATCACCAAGTTTATATCCACCATGGAAGCACAAAGGTTTCAGACAGAAACCTAGTTTTCTTTTTTCAAACAAGACAACATATCTAGCAAAGCACAAAACTTTCATTATACAATGAAGTGAAGAAAAAAAAAAGGAATCAACTGATTTCCATTGCTTTCTGTTCATTTCTCGTAAAGTTTCAGACTGTTAGGATCGAAGGTAATATGCAGGAGGTGATGTGTTGGTAGCAGAAGATAGGAGTGGCATTCCATGGTTTGGATTTCTATTATTCAATTGTCAAAACAGTGATGCAGGATATGACACCATTAAATCTGCAAATAGTAACTGTTAGCTGCTGCTATTTGATATTAGTTTATAGTTCTTAACTGCTTAACTCATTCTGTTCTTTTTGTTAGCATATTTCTGATTCCACTGGACAAGGTGTAATATACAGAGGAAACTTCAATTGTATTGGGCAGACTGTCATTTTGGAAAATATTGGAATACAGTGTGCTAAACAGCTGCTCACCTCCTTCAATTCTGTCTCTATTCTACTCTTTTCTTCTCTCAAATGCTCTTCTGCAATCTCTGCTACTTCTCCCTTCCATTTCTGAGCTACATCGGTGCAGATTCACAACTCTAGGAACTTGACAAATTGGTAACAAAGCCGTCCAAACCTCGGCAACCAGGATTCCTCTTCTGCATCTTCCTTCTCTTTGCTTTTATCTTCTCTCTTATTCTGATCTCTGCTCCTCCTTTGCCCTTGACTCTCTTTACTGTTCTTTTCTTCTTCCTTTTGTGCAACTTCTGCAATTCTTTCTTCTGCTCTTATCTTGCTTTTACAGACTTCAGTCCTTGAATGTGAAATTACTGAAGGAATCATAAATCGACATCCTGCTTCTCACAAATTTCTCTTCCTTCTTTTGTGATTAATTCCTATTTTCTTTTCATCTCCCCTCTCTCTAGAAATTTGTCTGTAAATGACAGAGGAACCTACACCAATGAGCTACAGAGTGTCACACCAAATTGAGGACTCTATGGGTACGAGAAGCCCAGAATAAGATGTTTTTCATTCCTTGAAATTAGAAAAGCTACAAGTTCGTCTCTCCTATCTATTGCAAAACACAGATTTTCTAACTCTAGGAGGAGTTAGGAGATTGATAGAGGAGGACACAGGGATTTGAAAATATGTGTTAGATGTGCACAAAAATCTTGTCATGGAATGTGTTCTAGAATATGTTATTGACGATGATGATGATTATGCGAGTAAGGAAAACTTTCAATATGATATGAAAGGTGTAGTGGAGGTTGTTGTAAACTGCGGGATGGTTGAGAAGTTTGATAGAATTGAAGCAGAAAAAGGTTCCATCAGGTTGAACTGGATGGGAATTAAGGTGATTTGATGAGTGACCACCGAGTGTTTGTTAAAACACTTCAACCAAAAGATTTGGCCGAGTATCATATAATTTTAGAAGTTGTTACTTCTAAGAATTTTACTGGAATTCCTTCACAAGAGTATATCCCTAGTGTTTTGGGGCTTGCATGCACGTAAAGTAGCATTGATATAAGCAAACAATCTCAACTTCTGCCCACTTTGGACAGTGGCAGTGCAGTAGCATCTGACTTTGATCTGCTCAATGACGGGCCACAAAAGACTCGGATGCAATTGATGACACAGATTGGCTCGATAAAGTTATCTGAAACAGTTACTTCAAATCTGGTATGAAGAACTTTCATATCATTTTCATTATTGTTAATAAGCTCACTAGCAATGCTAAGTGCTTTTGAGTATGCTGACTACGCTTTGGAGCACTGGCATCCCATTGTTGAAGAGAGCAGTAACAAAGCAAAAGGAGCCATACCTCCAATAGCCCTGCTCTTTTTTCTTTTGGATACAATAGCTAATCGGCGCTCATCTTCTTCAACTCTTGTCTCTATTCTACTTTTTTTCTCTCAAATTCTCTTCTGCAATCTTGGCTACTTCACCCCTAATCTTCCTAAGCTAGATATTTGCAGATTCATGACTTGGAACCTGACACAGACAGAAATGTCCCTTCTTTTCGGCCACTAACTCTACTCTCTCACAGGCATTTTATCAAACATCTTATGACTGCCAACACGGAGACCTGAAAACACTAAAGCTCACAGACAAAGTTGACCATGGAGTGTACATTAACTCACCTTCGCCCAAATCAAATTCTTATTATACTAAAATCCATGGCTTAATTAAAGCAACAAATAATGCGATGCACTAAACAAGGTGCTAACTAACAATAGATATGCGTGCACATAGTGCAAAATCATTGTAAACCAGAATTGAGATTCTAACATACAATATACACAAACAATATAATATTGATCTCCAAACAATAACAAAAACCTCGTCCGCACATTGCTTGTATGCTATATGTAATAAATAGATGTCTGCATATATATCGATATATACATACATAATATATATATTTATAGAGAGAGAGAGAGAGAGAGACTTACAGAAGCTGATGAGAGAGATAATCGAGTGATTAAGCTTAAAAGAAAGAGAGCGACAGAGAGAGTACGCTTATGCAACTTCCGGGGCTTAAGAGAGTCTCCTCTTCTCTAGTGTTCAAAAGGAGAATCTGTGCTGGCTTTCTCTTCGTATTGCAGGATGATTTAGTGAGGGCACGATATCGTGTTCTCCCGTACAGTTGCTTCATTGCCCATAAGATGATCTCATCGATTATGTCAAAAGAGAATCAAGAAAAGTAGGAAAATCAGACGGTGAAAAATGAGAATCTTCATCAACAATTTTGTTGTCTTCTTTAGCGGATCTTTTGGGTTTGGACCAAAAAAAAAGTTTAATTGGGCTGGGCAAGCCCGTCATGTAAACTCCACTTTATTTTCTTTCACAAAATATATATATATATATATATATATATATTACGAGGAAGAATCATTATTTAATACTTTTTAAATTATTATTTAAACATATTATGTTATTTTTAAAGAAAATAAAATATAGTCCATAAAATTTATAAGTTATCTTTGGAAAAGATTAAATAAAAAGCAATGAGTAATTCATTTTTAGCTTACATTTTTACTTAAATTCTAAATATAAAAAATACAAATGAATTACCTAAATTTATTTTTCTAATTTATTACATAATATCTTAAAAAAGGAATTCAACTCACCCGCAAAGCTCGTGTGAAAAGACTAGTATTATAGCGTAAGTATATCTCAGCCATCTAAAAAATATAAAGAAATAAAAACATACCAAGTTGAGAAATACACCCTCTGAATTCTTGCTCAAATAATAGGGCAACTGAGATGAGAACCCAGCTAATATTTACATATAATCCCACAACATTCATTTGGCAAATATCATACAATACACTGTTTTTAACATGATCCCAGAGTTGATACAAACCTTAGGAAGAAAATATAACAACTAACACTGTTTTTAACACGGTCCCAGAGTTCATACAAAACCTTAAACCGAAAATACAATAACTAACACGACAAATGCAAACGGTGTCTGCTTATTTAAATTTTACTGGTGCCTAAACAGAAAGCACAATAACTTATACTTGGATCGTTATCGTAAGCTGATCAGATCATCTAAAGCCTAGTTCTCACTGCAGAACAACACATTTCCTGTGTCCCGGTCACCATAGCAGGACGGGATTTGTGCACTTTGCTTAACGGCATTGGCATTCTCCTCCTCTTC